ATCGTAATTTCATTCATATAAATGAGTTTACAGATATGTTGATTATATATATTGAATACACACATATATGTGTGTATGTGTGTGTTCAATTATTGTTATGTAAATGACAAATAGAGTTACATGGGATAAACGAACAAAAGAAATTGGGTGTAACCAACGAAAATGAATAGTCTAATTAATTTAATGTTTTGATAATAATTACATCAATAAAAAAAACAAAGTTCGAGAAAAAGAAAATTAGATTGCGATGCCTAAAAATGTCATTTTATTGTTGGTGTTTTTTCTTACAAAATTACAAATTAAAAAACTATAAAAACCATAAAAACAAAAGTGAATCTACAACAAAAACAAAAGCAATCAAAATTCTCACAAAATTCTAAAGCCTCAATGGAGACTTCTTCTTAATCCAAGTTCCAATGTCTTCTTACATATATTGATAAACTCGTGTATACTCTTCTGCCATAGATGAAAGATGGAAAAGAAGAGGGGAGAACGTAAAGTAGTTTAAAGCTCGTACATGGAGATGGAGAACACATAAATGAAAAAAAAAACCAAAGATTGAAGGRTTTAAATATTGAAGTTGAAACGTTCTAAGAGAAATGAAAGAGTTTTTGAGTTAAATGTGAAAATTAATTGGATTTAAATATTGAAGTTGAAACGTACCAAGAGAAAAGGAAGAGTTTTTGAGTTAAATGTAAACATTAATTTGCAAAATTACTAAGAAAAAAAAAATCAAAATGTGGAAAAAAGAGAAAAATAGGATCTTTGCGTCGAGGAGATGCCACGTCAACCTATCATGATTTTGCTTTATAGATATATATAGATTATGAGAATAAATTTGTTTATTTCTTTATTAATAAGGGTAAATTTAAATTGATACATCGTTATTTACAAGCCCAATAAGTTATATAAATTTACAAATCATTTCTCATGTGTTATTTTACTTTTACATATGAAACAACACGTGTAAAAATACAGTGCTTATACGGTGTTGTTTAATATGTCAAACGTTTGGGAATGTTCTGTGTATGAAACAAAACAGTTCTTAACGTTTTACCTATAAAATAACACTGTATAATTGTCTTTTTGGTTTCACATAAAAAATAGCTTGTTAGTTTATATGAATTACTGGGTTTTTAATGAAATGGACTCTACATAATTCAAAAAGCAGTTGCTGTCAACTGTTGTTTTGGATGTGTTTTGATAACGATGAATCGGTAATTTGTGCTTTTAATCGAAACAGTTTATTGTTATAGTTTTGAACTATGGTTCCTTCGTAACTGAAACTCGTATTTATGAGTTTAACTTTTACGTTAAAATTAAATAGTTTGTCAATCTCGCTTCGATGTTCAAAATGGATAGATTGAGAGTCACGTAATTGTATATAAAAATTACTTGTTTTAATGATACCAACTTTTATATTGTGACTACGATGTCTGTAAGGGCAATAATTTATATTTTGATTTCTTTTTTAATACTTCCCATGTTCGGTTGATGGGATCAATGATTATAAATACCAGGGTCGTCTCTTAGTATGTTAAATGTGAGATTTTGAACAGGGCCCTCAAAATTTTCTGGCCTAAATTTACATGTGTTTAGGGTCTTTTATCGACCAGTGTAAAACTATAGCTGAAATTATTTAGGTTCAAACCATTAATCGTTTGGTTTTTAGGTTCAAATCATTAATGGTTTAGATTTAGTTTCAGATTGTTAATCGTTTTAGGTTTAGTTCATTTTTGTTCTTAATATATATTATTTGTTATCTCTTTTATGTAATGTAAATAAAAAAAAAAATTGAATGTAGCAGGATCTCCAAAAAAAATTGGAACGTCCCTAATAAATACCAGGTGTTTATGATGATTGAATTTAGAAAGTTGCAGACGGTGTGCTTCCATACTCCAACAGCGTCCACGCAAGCACTTGGATCACGATTGAATCATTGGAATACCGTTACCTGTGTACGATGCTACACGTTACTATCGAACAGTGGTAGTATTATGCAAATTCTGATATTTAATATGCGAAACCCTAATCCCATTAGAATACGATTCAGATGAGGAAAAACACGAGGAGGGGACGGGATATTGTGGAAGGACGTTATCTTAAAATCCGACCACGTTCTTTTAACAATACTCGTTCTCTCGTGGAAGGATGTTCTGTTTGTCTTCCTAAGCGGTTTCATATGCAACATTCGAGTTACCTACTCCCTGTGACTTCCTTGTACGACCCCATAAGTTGCTTTATGGCCATCGTGTTCGTGACCTGGCTACACGATCTTACCATGTTGTGTGCCAGTTTGTTTTTGGCATGCTGAAAGTTGATCGTTTGGATCTTTACACAAACCAAAGCCGCCTAACACCAAAAATCATAATTCTTTTTTTTTTTACGTACAGACACTTGCTGCACGACACAACTTTAATACATATAATTAACATACCACACGTAATTCAAGCATTTATTAATGGATTGACACAACATATACATTCCATTTGTTATCGAAATGATTAGCCTTAAGCCTCATTATCGACCCATTAACATGGTAAACACTTTCCCAACGTCGTATGTAAGTAATGAATTGATAACAAAAACACTCACCACAAGTTTTACTTGAAATTTGTCGGTTCACGTTTAACAATATATCGACCTTATCTTGCATATTTCAATTTACTGCCATTTTCACTATTTCTGCACAAGGAAACGAGAGAGAGGGAGAAAGTAATTGACTAGATGTGTTCTACCATTTGATCCTCTAAATGACTTATAGTCGATTAAATTATCTCCAACAGCTATGCTAAAATAGAGAAAATTGAGATTTTAATATTTTTTTGCTTTAACAACTATGCTGTTTAGTATTAAAAATCGAATAAAAAGTGAAGGCCAAATCGGCCCGGTCCGGGACCGGTTAGGGTTTTTGGTAGTTTCGTGGGACCGGCCCGGTCCGGAAATTCAAATAATTTTATAAATAAATGTATTTTTAAATAATTTTATAATACAATATAATTTTAATTATATTAAAAAGCATTTTTAAAGTGTATTTGAGTGACCCAATTGTAAATTTTATAATGTATTAAAAATATATATCATTTAAAAATAAAAAAATCTTATTTTTTAATGTCGGGACAGGTTGGGACCGAGACTGGTAATGAGAAAACTTGGAACCGATTAGACCCGGCCTGACCGGGACCGATTTTTGACCATCACTACTACAAACACACGTTCTATTTAATCATTTCAGGTCCTTCAATTAATTCCATTAACTCTATATTCAATCATTGCATTTATTTCTTTCAATATATTACACATTCAACCCCTAGCTTATGATGTACTTACAATATCAATTTCAAGGGTCTTTATGACAGTTGTTGAATGGTTTGGTGTAAGATAATCAAGTGGTCAGAATGGTTAAGAGGTTTTCAATTTTCATAGTATAGTGAAAAAATGGAATACAATTGTTTGGAATTTGTTTTACAATAAAATTATAGCGCTGAATGGTTAAGAGGTGGCTTATGATACAAAATCATTCAGAGAGTTTTAGAACCATTAAAAGACATATTTTTTTTGTCAAACAAGATTTACCTCAAAACAATTCAGATGTTGTCTCTTAATGAAACTACTACGAGATAAACAAAGAACCCCTAAGACTGTTACACAATGAAATGCATTGCTCTTTCTTTTTAGGAATATGCTTCACAAAAAAATACTGGTTTACCCCCAAACGGGAAGCTTTCGAGTTACTTCACATTACGTGTATCACAAACTGATACAAATATCCAGACAGTGGTCTATTTGGTATTCACGCTGTTATGGATGTCATATATGGTTAGCACTGTTATTAATGGACATATTTACGGTAATAAACAGAAGAAAGTGTATGAACAATAACATTACACATGTATTGTACGACTTCTATATTGACAAATAAGTAGTTTTTAACCATGATTTTGTTTATAAATTAAGATACTCCATACACGTGCATGTATATTTTACTGTTATGCATGCTTATATATACATACGTGCATGCATTTATATTGGACTTCAAGGGCATTGTACGTCTTTTGGCTTGTATGTACATGTATGTGTGTTTCTATTGGCTGAACATTTAATGTGTAAAAAAGGAAACTGGGTATATAATTAAAGACGTCCAAACCACATATCCAAATCTGACATTTCGAGTTAAGGATGAAAAAAATAATGAATTATAAATCATGGATTAAAATCGAAATTTTAAAATCACAAGAACAAAAATAGAAATTCCTAACAAACCATGGGGACTAAAAAGGTAATTTACTCAATATATTAATTATGACCTTTGCATTTCAAATTGTAATTATGAAATGGTTTTAAGAGATTGAAATTTGGTAAAATGATTTGGAAAAATTTATGTAGAATTCGAAATAAAATTGAAAATTCAATAATTTACAGAAATAAATTATAAAAATAATTAAGTTGTTTAACTGATTGTGACAAAACAGATGTTTTTAACGTATTTTGAAACATTATTAAATACGAATTCTCTAAATTCCTATGAAATATCAACCATTCTCGTGGGATTTTAAAGTATAATGGTAGTGGGATTTCCAATCCATGAAATTCTTCAAACCAAACATGAGATTGTAATGAAATTCAATTTCAAATATAATCTAATCCTACAGATCAAACGAGACCTAAATGCGTCGTTATTGATTGCTGAAATAATTACATAATTTTATTAACTTGAATATCCAACATGCTATGTGAGCAGACTAATCCCAGGACAACCACCTGCTTTGCGGGTAGTCAGAAGTCACCGCATTTGAACCTAAGGACTACAAGAGATTTTTATTCCTTATTGGATTTGAACCTGGGACCTCCAGACACTTTTGACATTTGGAGTCTAAACTCAAAATATCATACACCACCTTTGTGGTTAAAAATAATTACATTCACTTTGAAAATAATACGTGGGGAAGAATTTCATATAGTGATGTGCCAAGCAAATTAGAAAAGAAACAGACTAAACGTCGTGATCTCGAGTCATTTTTTGTGAAGGAAATATGTTCTAAAATATTTTTAGGAGGGGAATGAAAGGAAAATGTAATATGAAGGTAAATAATGCTTATTTTTCTCCAAAATAGATGACAAAAATAATAACAATTAAAAAAATTAAATAAAATTATAAATCTATCCATTAACTACAATCTGCTATAAAATAAATAAGGATATATTTGTAAAAATAACATATTTATTTTCCATTTTTCCTATTGAATAACACAAACTTATTTTCTCTCGTTACCCTTTTTTCCCCTTGCCTCTCACTAACAACCCATCCTTTCCCCCAAAAAGAGTGTAGGTGTTATGAGTAGGGGTGTACGCGGGGTGGGTTAGACGGTTTTTGACATTTTACAATCCAACTCAATTATGACAGTTTAAAAATCTCAACCAAACCCAATTCATGCAAATTTAGAATCCAATACAACCAACCATTGCCGGTTAGGACGAGTTGGGTTGGTGGGTTAGTAATGCATATACTTCATATGTTCATCTATGCAAAGAAAAACAAAAATTTATATGAAAAAATAAAGCAACTTCTAAACAGTTGTGATTCAAACTTCCAGGGACATCTATGCAAGAGAGAATCATATACTAAAGTGCATATCCATCATTGACATCACACAATTGCATGTATGATCACATATATTTTTTTTCAAAAGAAATCAAGCAAATATCTCAGCTCCTACAAGTAGGGGTGAGCAGCGGAACTGGGTACCCGGCTATAGAACCGGAACCGCCTTGGAACCGCCGGTTCCAGAACTGGAACCGATATGAGTGGTTCCGGTTCCGGTTCCTAAAATACGGAACCGACTGAGAATGGTTCCGGTTCCGGTTCTCAATTTTTCGGAACCGTTATCCGCCGGGTACCCGGTATTTTTCAATAAAAAATAATTATTATTTTTTAATACCAAATTTATATTAGTTTTACATCTTAAAAGGACGTCGTCATCTTCAATCTTCATCTAAATTCTTCATATAAAATGATTCGTATTTTTTCAAATTGTGTGTTCACTTRGATTCATAGTATGTAATCGTTAAACTTTGAACAATTACCATTATAGTATATAATCGTTAAACTTTGAACATTTTATATTAGTCTATTATGGTTTGTAATCGTTAATCAATATTTGTAACCATTATTCTGTATAATTTGTATTCTTGCTTATTTATTTAGTGTTTTGGCAATGTTTTATTTTTTATTTCTAAATAACAAATTTTTAATATTTTAGGAAGCGGGTACCCGGAACCGGAACCGGTTCCCGATGGTTCCGGTTCCAAAAATTTAAGAACCGCTCTAACCGGTTCCGGTTCCAATATCTCAAGAACCGCCGGTTCTGGTTCCGGTCAAAAAGGGCGGGTACCCGCCTATGCTCACCCCTACCTACAAGCTCCTCAAGATTGCTGCCCATATATCCCATACAGGTAAAACGAATTAAATCAATAACAAGACATAGTCCATACTCCATAGTATCGAAAGTTTTTTCAAAGGTGTCTAGCAGCAATAACGTCCGACAATGTTCGACGGCATCTGCCAACGCTCAATCTAGTTGTTTCAGTGTATTCGTGTTAAGGGAGTAAGGGGGCATAACGAAACTAAGGCGTATCAGTGGACTACTAGGTACCTCATAGAGCATCCGACCTAGTTGGATTAATTATGGGTTTTGGCCAGAATTATATGTATATATTATTTCGAGAACACAATGCAAATGCTAACAAGAAGTAGAGTAGAGTGGCCAAGTTAACGATCTTGATAGTTTAGTGGCTCAAAATAAAGTTTATCATTCTTTGGTGGCCGAATTTAAAAGTTCATTAGTTGAGTGGCTAAAAGAAAAAATTATCAAAGTTAGGTGGCTAAAATAGTACTTTATGTTTTCACAAATACACAAAATTCAATACTCGAAAGTAGAAGAAACTCACCAAGACCGCCAGCAGACTCGCCGTCGATTCCATTTCAAAAATTTGAGTCTGGAACACAAGCATTCACACATTCCGATGGGTGTTTCCAAGGAAAACTGCCGGAATGAGCTCCGAACTGCAATCCGTCAACTTACCGATCGTTGCCTCTATTCTGCATCCAAATGGTTAGCAAACCCTCAAAGAAACCCTTACTTTCTGTTTCCAAATCCCCGAAAATTTGAATTTGAATTGGTTTGATTTTATATGTAAACAGGGCTGCAGAACAATTGGTGGGTATTGAACAAGATCCGGCAAAATATCCGCCTTCCCACACTCGATTACAGCGTGATTGTTCCAGCATTCGCCGCCGATTTCGCTCTACTGACGAGATAACCTCCACCCCTCTCGCCGGAACATCCTACGTGTCCACTCCGGTGCCGGAGGAGGACAATGAGGCTGTGGATTCCGATTTTTACCTTCTTGCGAAGACGTATTTTAATTGCAGAGAGTACAGGAGGGCTGCGCACGTTTTATCTGATCAGACTGGCAAGAAAGCATTGTTCTTGAGATGTTATGCCCTATATTTGGTTCGTTTTTTGCACCTTAAATTCCATAGATTTCGTGTCTATTTGATTTGGGATTCTCTAACTACTTGTTTAAGCTTCATTTGGCATTTGATTACCACAAATTGTTATTAGGGAATAACTTGGGGGAATTCTTTAATTCTCTGTTGAACTGTTTAATGCTATTGTTTTTCATATCCACCAGGTATTCGATTAAATGCCAATAACATAAATTGACTTTATTTTTCATTACAGTTACCATATGGTTCATATTTGTTTGTTTAATATTCTTAGGAACATAATAACTCCGGCGATGATAGCTCACAAGATGTACTTTGACTGCATACTTTAAAGAGCACGGTCTTACATTTCTAGATCATATCAATAATTGGCAAATAAAGGCTTCGCTATTGGGGATTTTCTTGGCTGTTATCTTTAGGATCCGATGGGATTAGTCATGGTGCGTCCAAGCTGGCCCATACACCCACTGTTACAAAGTTGCAAAAAAAGGAAATTCTGACTACGGAAACTGGTAAATGATGCAAGTCTAGAAATTTTATGAGAAATGTGAGAAGATATTCTCAAGTTATTGGTCATTATGTAATTGAACGTTGCGGTTTATCATGATAATAACTCATAACTTTAGTAGGTAGACAATCTAGTCATCTCTTTTTTGTTCCGTTGTCTTCCTCTTCTTGCCGTTTTTTCTCTCCATCTTTATATGGCTCACCAAGTATCAGGAAATAGGGCTGAATACATTAAGGTTTAGGTTGTATGGTTCCCATAAAGAGGTATTTTCCCATGGGGCACTCCTTGATTAATATGAGGTCCATCAAAAAGAACATTAGTCTTTGGTACCATGGATGCAACCTTAACATAAAGTTTATGTAAAGTGATGCTAAAACGAGGTAATCACATGTGATCCTCGGCCCAAGGATATAGTAAAAGCTTCTATGCCATCTTCTTGACCTGCTATCAGTGTTGTGCACGTGTTTATTGCTTCGTTTAGTCGGCGTAAGCATTGGAAATTGAAATCTTCATTTGTTATCCTCTTGTTGTCAATTTTATTGGATTCTAAATCTTTGTTGTTGATCTTTCTTTTGAAGTTTATAATATTTATATACGACAAAACTCAAGACCACTTCTCACCTTTTGACGAGGCTTGAACCCTTGACCTCCAAGGAAGTTTGGATTCTACAGTTAACCCAGGTGCTGTTGGGCGGTTGACCTTGTGGCAAAATTGGAGACCCAATTTAGGGATTTATTGCTGATTTTGTTGACATTTACTTGGCGAATTACACAATTGAATTGACCGTATTTGGACATATTTTATCTTTGCTGTGCAAAATGCATCTTTGGCAATTTTTTACCATACTATTTTTCAATTTGTTTCATATTCACGGAAACAACCTTTTGATCCTGGTGCTTGTGAGGTAAAGTCTGCCTATATCTTACCCCTTTCATACCCTATTTTCGACAGGATATACTGGGTTTGTTTGAACCTGATTGAACTTTTATTTTTGAAACTAAAAGAACCCTTCTATGTTGCTTATACTTGAATGTGAAAACTACTCTTATAAGTTGACCAAGTTAGTAACTTTCACTTGGTTCTTCCAGGCTGGAGAAAAGCGAAAAGAAGAAGAAACAATCGAACTCGAGGGACCTTTGGGTAAAAGTGATGCAGTCAACAGCGAACTGGTGTCCATAGAAAGAGACTTATCTGCGGTCCGTAAAAATGGCACAATCGACCCTTTTGGGCTCTACTTATATGGTCTCGTTCTCAAACAAAAAGGTAACGAAAATCTCGCTCGAACCGTACTCGTAGAATCCGTAAACGCCTACCCATGGAACTGGAGTGCTTGGTCCGAACTGCAGTCCTTATGCACCACAATCGAAACTCTAAACAGTCTTAAACTCAATAATCATTGGATGAAAGACTTCTTTCTTGCCAGCGCTTATCACGAGTTGCGTATGCATAATGAATCGTTAGCTAACTACGAGTATTTGCAAGCAACTTTTGGCTTCAGTAACTACATTAAAGCACAAATCGCGAAAGCACAATACAGTCTACGTGAATTTGAGCAAGTCGAGGCTATTTTTGAAGAACTTCTTAGGATCGACCCTTATCGTGTTGATGATATGGACATGTATTCTAACGTGTTATATGCAAAGGAATGTTTCTCCGGCCTTAGCTACCTCGCCCACCAAGTTTTCATGACGGATAAATACCGACCCGAATCTTGCTGTATTATTGGGAACTACTATAGTTTAAAGGGTCTTCATGAAAAGTCAGTTATGTATTTTAGGAGGGCGTTAAAGTTAAATAAAAACTATTTATCTGCGTGGACTTTAATGGGGCACGAGTATGTTGAGATGAAAAACACCCCGGCTGCTGTTGATGCTTACAGACGGGCTGTAGATATAAACCCGTGTGACTATCGAGCTTGGTATGGATTAGGACAAGCATACGAAATGATGGGAATGCCCTATTATGCCCTTCATTATTTCAAGAAATCGGTTAATTTGCAGCCGAGTGATTCCCGTTTATGGATAGCGATGGCTCAGTGCTACGAAACCGAACAGCTACGTATGCTGGAGGAGGCGATTAAGTGTTATAGAAGGGCTGCTCATTGTAATGATCGAGAAGCCATTGCTCTTCATAGGCTAGCAAAGCTGCATAGCGAATTGGGGCAATCAAAAGAAGCTGCGTTTTATTATAAGAAAGATTTGGAACGAATGGAAGAGGAAGAACGAGAAGGGCCGAATATGGTCGAAGCTCTTTTGTTCCTTGCGAATCATTGTCGAGCTCAGAAGAAATTTGAAGAAGCCGAAGTGTATTGCACTCGTCTTCTTGACTACAATGGCCCTGTAAGTCTCACTCTCTCCATCCGGCACTAAAATAAAATCGGCTTAAATATGTCTAAATGTTCTACTAGACTGTCTTATAGGACTTAAGTTTATAGGATCAAACAATTGTGCGTTCTATGTAAAAGTGTTACAATAAGTTGATAGATAGCGTTTGGACCTCCTAACAAGATTCTCAAGACACTTTTGAAATAAAGTGTTATATTAGCTTTTTTTAGAGGACACTCTTGAGAAGGGTCCTATAAAGCTTTTTTTAGAGGACACTCTTGAGAAGGGTCCTATAAACACATCTTTTCATAAGACACTTGTTTTTACAAGACACATTTCAAATAATATCATTTAAAAATACTAATAGAACATTTTATTTCAAAAGAGTCCTAACAAGCTCTTCTAAGCCCTATCAACTTATTGTAACACCTTTACATATGACATAATTTTTGGTCCTATAAAACGGTTTATTAAGACATTTAGGGTATGTTTGTTAGCAGCCTAATGACAACTTATTCGGTCAGTTATGCATGACTATTTGGTAGTGGCTTAATGACATAGAAAGTGGCTTATTCATTAAGCTTTTAGGGGAGCTTTATGCAGAAAGCCAAGTTTTTTCCGAACATGTTCCTCTCAATTAAAAAACACACTCCTTCCATTCATGAAAAAAACACCCAAACAAAAATCTTTCCAAATTTTACAGACAGATTAATCCCCACAAACAATTTTATTCATACAGGACTAAATGGAAAACCAATCAAACGTCCCCTTAAACATATTTGGTGTCTTGTAGTGTGATTTCAACCCTTTTCTTGTGTGTTCTTTTGAAAATAGAGAAACCCCAAAAAAGGCGAAAGCTTTATGAACTTATTCGACGCCTTTCGATTGTGATTGCAGGAGAAGGAAACAGCAAAGAGTCTACTTCAAGCAATTAAATTTGCACAATCTGGTTTCCCTTCATCGGACGTTGAGCATTTTCCTTCATAATATCCTGTAAGTCTTCTTATATCGATGTAGTGAGGTATGCATGCCCTTCTTTTCCCTATTCGTGCATGAAATATGAAGAACAAATAGTAAAATATCAAACCAAATGCTGGTTTGAAAACTGAAATGTGGCAAAATTTTCGATTCATTTTGTTCAAGTTGTTCGATAGTCTCATGTAATCATTCTTTACGATATATCCTAGTTGATAGCTTCATCACATTACACAGATTGTATTCCTATTTTTGATGTCCTGTTGATCTGTGACCGTGCATTCTTCTCTTTTCTCTATGAATAAAAGCAAAATTCCTAAGTTCCTTAGGGCCCGTTTACTAATTTTTTTTGGGTAAGCACTGATTGGACAAGGGGCTGTTTACCAACACTTACCGGATAAGAGTCAACACTTGACACGTAAAATCGTTGGCAAAAACCATCACCGACAAGGTTAGTTAGTGTTAACCGGGTAAGAGTCACTACCCTCACTTACCATGTTGTAAGATTGTTGATAAGCACATGGTAAGAGGTAGTAAGTGTTCAGTAATCGGCTCCAAAGTAAGCCTCTCTGGTCTTACCCGGTCAACAACATTTGTTGGTCAGACTGTGTTTGTAAACAACATTATCTTTAGTCTTTACCCATCAAGCACTACTTATCTGGTAAGAGGCTATAAGCACTTAGTAAAACTATTTCAATGCTTTGATACAAAGTTCTTCATTTCCTATATTTATCACACAAAAACATACACATGTATCAAAGTTCAAACACACTTGGCATATATGGACCCTTTGACTTCTTATTGTGCTAAATTGACTTTTCAAATCATCGTACTTGGCTTTTGCGGGAAGTGCCCATCATTTCGTGAAAATACAAGAAAAAAACATTACACTTTGCAAGAACTGAGCGCATTTGGACAAGAAACCGACATAAAGTATGATGTTCAAATATGCTCGTTATTGCAAATCATAATGTTCTTCTTTTAACGTTTTCACAAAACAATGATCGGATTTGCTAAACGTACGATGTTCGCAAAAGCTATTCGAGCTACACACTCGTGGTGCTCCAAAACAGATCCTTGATTAGTTGCTTCTTGATCTGCCATCTGTTTGCCGGAGGCTTGGTGTCGCCACCTCCAGTTGCTTGCTTCTTGTTTCCAAATATTTCTTTGAGAATCCGTTTCTTGATCTGCCATCGGGTTGGCGGAAGGTTGTCGATTGAAGGCCCGGGAGCCTTCCGGCAGTATTTTCCGGCGCCGGTAGGTTGCTTTCCTAACTCAGACATATCCTGCTTTGTTGTAAAATGAGTTTTTGGTAAATTGAATGTCTCTCTCTCTCTCTCTCTCTCTCTCTCTCTCCATCTCTCTATGTGTATATATAGAGGGGGGGGGGAATTAGCCGTTAGTGTGTTAATTGCGCGTTAACTATGGTTAATTTGACGACGTCGTTGCTAACTGCCACCAAAAGGTGTAGAAAGACCTGGTCACTATAAGCTACGCAGCTTCTTTGGTTTTATTGGAGGGAACACATAATATTTTAATGCGGCGTCGTTTGCTAAATGGTTTCTTTTTTCCTAATAATTTATGTGTTGGAAATATAAAAAAAGAGGGAAGCTGTTTTTGAGTGTAAAAATTGATAGGGGGTGAGGTTTATTCACAGCTCAGTTATAAAAATAGTTTATTTGAGTTGGGTTCACGTGAGATAAAGCTGTTTTTGTAAGATACATGAGACACGATTTTTACATTTGAAACTTAGTAACAAAATGTTGTGAAGGTAAAAAAAACTGATTTTTCACAGCAAAAACATTGTCTTCACATTGTTTTGCTGTAAAGTTTCAAGTGTAAAAATCGTGTTTCATGAAAACAACTTTGTCTTACATGATCTCAAGTCTAGTTTATTTATCGTCTTTCATACGTGAAACGTACATATAACAATTGTCTTTCACATACAAAATATTCGTAAATATTTTACATATAAAATAACATTGTATAAATACTGTATTTTCATACATAAAATAATATATAAAAACTGGTTTACAGATTTATAAATAATTATGCGTGTATTATTATTATTAAATAAAATATATAAGCATGACTACGATATCATGGGTCAACTGTTGGTTTGATATGCAATGTTTATCTATATTTTATACTATATAATATAAGCATTTGACAAAAAATTCTTAAAAATCATTTTTTATGTATGAGGTATTATTTATTAATGCATATTACTTAAAATTTAAGATTACAAGTGATTTTATATAACTATAACTTATTAAAGCTTCATTTTTAAATTTGTATAACTAACTGCAGATAAACATAATCAAATACAAGATAAATATCTATTTTAAGTATAGAAAATCTAAAAAAATAATTAAGATAATTATTAAGCTTCTAACAGAATGTTTAATTATTATCTTTAATAAAAATTATATTTTTAAACCAAAAATAAATTACTTGTTATTAGATCTAAATTAAATTATAATAAAAAATCAGAGGACGAGCTTCCCTGAGCGATTTCGATCACTCGTACCATGTCTACTTCTTTACTAAGCCCGATCCAGCAATATCGCGTGAGTGAAGAAGGGCAAGTCGTTTTGTTATAAAGTCGAGATTTTGAAACTATAGAAGACCATCAGGCAAGCAAGGAAGGCAGTTCGGTAGCTCTCCAACGGCTTAAACAACCTATATTCTCCACACTTAATCAACATTTGATAGATTATCCAACCCCGAGCTGAAGACCGTAATGTAAGTAACTCAATGCTCGACTTCAAGGGCTTACCAACAGACCTGCTACCTTCCCCCTTCTAAAGTCTTTTGCCCCACCATGCCACTAGATCCATAATGACGCTTTCCTTCGTTGAACACAAGACAAACGGGGACAAATCAAAGTATATGGATAAAATCGGATGAAAATCAAAGTTGAATTAAAGAACTTACACCCAAAAAAAAAAACGAGAACTGTTAAATAGTTAATTTAATACTAATATCAATTTTGTTTTTTTTTAAATTTTTTTATGCTATCTTCAAATTTATATTTCATTCAAAAATAAAACATTATCGCTTTCTCAAAACAACATAAAATCGTATTATATCGATAGAGACAAAAGAATTAAAACTGAACACTAAGATGGAGATTTATCTCGCTGCATTGCGCGAGTATCCTTCTAGTATATTATAAAGCATTTCACAAAAACTCTTAAAAAACAATTTTTTATGTAAAACAACTGTTTATTAATGCATATTACTTAAAATTCAATATCACAAGTAAATTGTACATAACTACAACTCATTAAATCTTCATTTTTGAATTTGTATAACCAACTATAAATAAACATAATCAAATACGAGATAAATATCTCATTTTGAATATAAAATATCTAAAATATAATTAGAATAATCATTAGTTATAACAAAATACTTAATTATTATTTTTATAAAAAAATACTATTAAATGACAAATATATTACTTTGTTATTAAATCTAGATTAAATTATAAATATATTACTTTGTATTAGACACATTTAGCCCTTATTTTTCATTCTTTATATTCTTGGTATAGTTAGTTGTACTTTCTTTATTCTTTTAAGGGTTGTATGTGTAATTATTCTTTCTATTTATGGATAATCTCTCCTCCTCATTTGGTATGGAGAGTAATTCTCTCATGGTATCATACGCCTAAAGATCCCAACTCTTTCTCTTCCTCTCCCTGCTGCTGTTTCTTCATCCTCATCCATGGCGTCCTCCTCTTCTACTGATAACCTCCTCCCCATGAACACCGTCTTGCATCTCATCACTAATCAGCTATCCTCCTCCAATTACCTACTGTGGAAGAATCAACTTCTTCCGCTTCTCTCCTATCAAAATCTGCTGTCCCACGTCGATGGCACCTCCCCTATGTCGGCGACCGAGATCATCATGGATGGAAAATCTACGCCGAATCAAGCGTACGCGGCCTGGCTATCTGCCGATCAGCACGCGGTTATTCTTCTTCAGGCCTCCCTTACCGAAGAAGCTTTCTCTGAAATTGTTGGTCTTAACACTGCTCGCCAAATCTGGGTTGCCTTAGAGGCTGCCTACAACAACTCTTCAGTTGAGAGGATTCAGAACTTGCGTGACCAACTCCGTCAACTATCGAAAGGTTCGTCTACTGTTTCTTATTTTGGGCGCAAATTCAAGTCTCTTTGTGATCAATTAGCAGCCATTGGACACCCTGTGGAGGAATCTGACAAAGTCCACTGGTTTTAATGTGGTCTTGGTGTGTCATTTGAGACCTTTTCCACTGCAATTCGGGCATTTCGAACTCCTCTTAATTTTTGTGATCTCCTGGCCCAAGCCGAAGGGCATGATCTGTTTATGCGGTCCATTCATGGTTCCGCAACTCCACCTGTGGCGTTCACTGTGCACTCAAGTAAATCTAATTCCAACCGGAGTCGTAATGATCGAACTGCCCGTCGTGGTCGGGGGAGTGGACGCCGTCCACTGCACTGCCAACTATGCCACACAAATGGCCATTATGCTAATGCGTGTCCACAACTATCTACTTATGCCTCCCATGCTCCCGGTTCTGATGCCGATCTTGCTAAAGCCTTTCACGCGCAATGTCATGTGACATCCTCCGGTCCAGATTGGTATGTTGATTCGGGTGCTACGGATCATATGTCTTCTTCCACTTCGTCTGTGGCCCAACCAGCACCTTACTCGGGCTCCTCCAAGGTCACTTTTGGAAATGGTACGGTTCTTCCCATTTCTCATATCGGTCACTTCTCTTTAAATAGTAATATCCAACTTCAGGATGTGTTGGTCGTTCCCAAGATTACTAAAAACCTTTTATCTGTTAGCAAATTGACCACAGATAACTGTCTGGATGTTTTGTTTTCCCAACCTTATTTTTACATTCAGTATCGAACGACGAAGCGGGTTCTAGCTCAAGGTCAATGTGATCGTGGCCTATATGTTTTGTCTACCAGCCCGCAAGCTTTTTTTGCCTCCACCAGATCCTCGTTGAAAGCTTCTTTTGAATTTTGGCATTCTCGTTTAGGACATATGTCCTTTGATACTATTTTATTTTTAAATAAGAAGGGTCATTTGTCGGTTACCTCTCTTTTACCTAAACCTATTGTGTGCACCTTTTGAAATTTGTTTATTAAAATTAATAGAATAAAGATGATAATGTCTATAATTATTTGAAATGAATTATGTGAAACAATTTGATCATATTAAACAATTTCATAAAAATAAAAAAACTCACTAAAATATATAATGAAATTAAAGGTTTTCACAGTTTACAAATTGCTTGGTTTGTAAAATATCTCTCCCTCTCTCTCTCTCTCTCTCTATATATATATATATATATAAATACAATATAATTAAATTTAATTTTAGAAAACGGATTATAAAATAAATAAAATGATTATATTATATTATTACATCATATATTAATAATTTATTTGAAATTAATGCTTATATTTTAATTAATATCAAATTAAAATAAATAATTATATATCATATATTTATTAGCTAAAAATAATAAGAAGGTATATCATAATTCATAAAGTAGGTTAACGAATGTAGCATTGAGGATCAATTTTAACAGTTAACAGTATGTCTCTTAATGGTTCTAAAACTCTCTGTATGATTTTGTATCATTGATCTCCTTTAACCATTAAGAGCCCTAATTTCATTGTACACAATTACCAAACAATTATATTTTATTTTGCAATATATCATGAGAGCCTCTTAATCATTCTGCACCAAACCATTCAACAATTGTCAAACAGCCCCTTATAAACAACATTATATGTTATTCAATAAGCACTACTTATTCAATAAGAGGCTATAAATAGTTATAAACAACATTATCTCTTATTCAATAAGCACTACTTCCTATATATATCACATAAAAAACATACAAAAGTACCAAAATTCAAACACAATTGACTTTTCAAACCATCGTAATCGACCAACATTTCACGAAAAACGTGAAGATGTTATACTTTGCTAAAAATGAGCGATTTTGAACAAGAAACCGACATAAAATATGACGTGTATCATACATTTCCGCAATTTGTCCAAATATGCTCGTCATCGCAAACCATAATATTCCTTTTTTTTTTTACGTTTTTACATAAAACGATGGTCGGGTTTGCTGAAGTATGACGTTCACGAAAACAATTCGAGCTTAACCACTCGTGGTGGTCCAAAACAGATCCTTAAGTAGTTGCTTCTTGATCTCCCATCTGGTTGCCGGAAGTTTGGTGCCGCCACCTCTGGTTGGTTGCTTCTCGTTTCCAAATATAAGTTCTTTGAAAATTCGTTTCTTGATCTGCCATTGGGTTGCCGGAAGGTCGTTGATTGAATTCCCGTGGGCCTTCCGGCAGTATTTTCCGGTGCCGGTGGGTTGCTTTCCTAACTCGCTCATCTCCTACTTTGTTGTAAAATGTGTTTTTTGGTATAAACTGAATGTGATTGTGTGTGTGTGTGTGTATATATATATATATATATATATATATATATATATATAGGGTTTATTTCAAATACAACCTATCGCATTTGTACAACCAATGCAACCCAATAAATTGAAATATTTATGGAAGTGATTAGAGTTCATTTATTATGATTTAAATATTTATGGAAGATGAATACGGTTCATTAATTATGATTAATACTTTATATTAGGAAATAATCAAAACCTTCATAAAATCACATATCAATCAAATGAAATGGACGGTTGAGATTGRGTTGTATTGGTTGCACAAATGACAAAGGTTGTATAATAACCAACCTCTATATATATATATATATATATATATATATATATATATATATATATATATATATATATATATATGTATGTATGGAGGGTGTTAAGAATAGCCGTTAGTGGGTTGATTTGCGCGTTATTAATTTGACGGCGTCGTTTGGTCACTGATTGCCACCAGAAGGGGTAGAAAGACTTGGTCACTATAAGCTACCGAACACCTTTGGTTTTATTGGAGGGAACACATAATATTTTAAATACTAAACATGGAAACAAATATTTAATATTAATAAGGGTTGGGTTCACGTGAGACTAAGTATTTTTCGTGAGACTCGTAAGATCAATTTATGTTCATTGATCAACTTTATAAGTTAATGATCTAATGGTTTAAAGTTGCACAGTGGTAATTTTGTGATTATCGAAAAGTCTCGTGTCAATTTTGTGATTATTGAGAAGTCTCGTGTCAATTTTGTGATTATGAATGTTCAGATTGTAGATTTAATCCAAAGGTTGAAAATTAGTCCACGGGTCTCACGAAAAATCTTTGGTCTCACATGATCCTAAGTCATATTAAATATTAATTTATATATTTTATAGTTACTTTTTTATAAACAATTGGGTTATTGTGAAAAAATCATTACTGAATTAAGGATAGTGATTTGCCCTGATCTGGTGGGGAACCCGGCTCATCCGATCCGAATGGGAACGGGAATTCCCCCTTAAAACGGGTCCCGGGGTCGGGGGCTGTTACTCAAACCGAGGTTGGGGTCGGGGATCCCTGTTAAACTCAAACTAATGGATATTTTTTCATGGGATTTGACCGGGGACGGGATGTTAATCCTCGTACCCGCCGGGGACCGGGGCCAAGGCTTGGGGCTGTTACTAAAAACTGGGCCGGGGTCGGGGATTACAAAACCCGCCCCATCTCCACCCCCGTTGCCATGCCTATACTGAATACGAACCTATGACCACAATTAAGGATCTGCTGATGTGTCTAAATACATTTATGTATGAACTTTTTATTGTGCATATAATCATAATTTATGTGCTGGAAATGTAAAAAAGGAAGTCGACATATACGGGAGTGTGGAAATAATATGACGGTTTATTTATCAGATTAGTCATAAAAACAATTATTATTATTATTACGTTCTACCTCTTTTATACATTTAATAATTTATACAAATTGAAAAACCAATTGTCATATATTGTTTCATATATGAAACAACGCGTATGAATATGCAAGATGTTCATGATTTTTTTTCTACATATGAAACAACACTGTATTTTTTATATGTGAAATTAACACATAAATACTGGTTTGTAAATTTCCATGATTTCAATCGGTTAAGGTAACGACTTCGGGCATGACCAACTCTCATAGTGTAACGGGTGGTGTGTACAAGGCTCGGAAACGGATTAATTTGTCTTTTCGGAGCTATCGCCCCAGTCAAAAAAATATTCTCGTCATAGGCCCTGTTCTTGGTCAGAAATACAGTGAAATCACTTTTCCTATTATTATCATTATTATTTTAAAATTAAAAAACAAGCCCTCTGTGTTTTCACCTGTCGAGTTGTCACCAATCATTGAATATCATTTCTATGTTCTAGATTTGATAAAATTTGGGTCTAAATTCTAAAACTTAACAAGACTGAAATAGTTGCAGAGCGACTTAACGTATCATAATATGGATTGTGTCAAAGTTTGAATGAGCAATCCCGTTGAATGAATAGCCGTAGTCATTTTCTTCATAAAGTTATTTTTACTTTTGTCTCAATTTTTTTTATTTTTTATCATTGACTAATTTTATGGAACCATGGAAAAGAGTCGGGAAAAAACTTGTACGACCATAACTGTTGACCACTGTGAAGACAGTCTCAGTTTGTTAGCACGTGTTTGAAATTCCAAATTTTGTTTCTGTTGTGTTTTTTTGCAAGACTTTGTGAAAGCCTGACTTAAAATTTCAATAAAATCAAATCACTTCTAGAATTGCTAATTTCTCAGATATCTTCAACCAAATATTGAAATAAAAAATTCTGTAAATTGAAAGAGGTCTTTATATTTAGAGTCGACTATTCATGACATCTGAAAAATATATGTAATGAATTTTACAGTATTGTGTTCTAGTATCTGGTTTTTTTTTTTTTAATTAAAATGACGTATTTTAATGTTTTTTTAGAGGTATGGTTTGAAGATGGTCTTAAACAATTTTCTTTTAAGAAAAACACATATTTAATTTAGTAAAATTATTTAATTAATTTATAAATACCACAAAAAATTTAAAATAGAATAGTACAACCTATGAAGCATCTAAACATTTTTTTTTATAAATAAACTATTAAATTTTTTAAAATTGGTTACCTACATTATTTTAATCAAAAAAAAGTTATATGTAACAAATTAACAGTGTTTTAAAGTAAAAAACATGAATCAGTTTTATTGTTCTGTTAAAATATACAATGAGTTTTATGTCAATCTTTGACTGGATACGTATTAATTTCTTTTATGTGATTGATTCGGTTTAGGACTAAGATAAAAGGGTTTCTTCTTGGAAATGATTAAAGAGGTTGTTTGACAGTTACTAAATGGTTTGGTGTAAAATGATTAAAAGGCTCTCGTGATATAATAAAAAATAAAATATAATTGTTTGGTAATTGTTTACGATAAAATTAGGGTGTTGAATGGTTAAAGGAGGCTTAAGATACAAAATCATTCAGAGGGTTTTAAAACCACTAAAAGACAGACTTTTTTTTGCCAAACAAGATTCATCTCTTAACGATTCAGAGGCTCCTCTTAATGGTCCTATAACCGGTCCCTGGCCGGGCCAGTTTGGCCATCACTAAATGTAACACAAGTAATATTTTGTTCCATAATTTCGTTATTTTGCACACAAATTTCACATGAAAAACCACAAAAAAGAATCTTCGAACAACGTCTATTACTTTTTTTACACACGGTCTACAAACGATAGATTAAACTTGCATACAACCAATTGATTCATCCTTGAATCAAGCTCGGCGAGCACGATCACGCCACGAGCCTTGTTGCGATGTTCGAACCTATGGCAATGGAATCAGCATCAAAAAATCGATAGAGGCAACAACTTTATGTTAGCAACTACTTCCTTCGTCTCAAAATACAAGTCCACATTTCTATTTTAATTTTTTCCAAGATAAGCGTTCACTTTCCAATTTTACCCTTGATTATGAAATAGAGATATTTATTTATCCTTTATTATTAAGGGTAAAATAGTCATTTACTTAATTAAAAAGAGCAACAATTCACAGTTCAAAAAGAGCATCCCTTTTTCATGTAGACATTTATTTTGGGACAAAGGAGTACAATATGGTGATGTGTAAAGATTCACGCACCTGATCGCTTATAAGACTTGCAGCAGGGGCAGTTTCGGGACTTTCTCTTGCGTGATCGTTTCCTTCTGCTTCACTGTCTGTATCAACAGGTGGTGCAAGTGATGAAGTTCCGAAAATAGCCTCATCGTGGGTAGCCTTAATCTTCTCCTCCCTTCTTGCCTTCATTATGTACAAAATATACACTCAATGTCCAAAGTTCAATGGAAATACTCGAATAGAGAATGTGTAAAATAAGATGCACAAAAAACCCCAATCCTGGCCGGAAAAAGCGCAGGCTTAGCAAACCCCAAGCCCAGACCTAAAAGCCCGAACAGGCCAGGTTTTTTTTTCAAAAGCCCGAGCCCGAAAAACCCCAATCAAGCCTATTTTCACACCCAAAGCCAGGCTCTTTTTTGGCTTATTGAAAACAGGCTTGGAAGGCCCGAGCCTTGTGCATCTGTTAGAGTAGAATGCAAAATTACCTCGACAGCAGAAAAGCGAAAAGTTTGGCCGATGTGCTTAACCAAATCTCCATCATCTTCAGCAGCTGAAAGATGCATGGTAATTACATGAGTGTATGTATCGAATACTTCGATTGGTATGCAGAACATGATGGGACTGATTGGGACAAAAATGCATTCCTTTTGTGGGTGTTGCTATATCCACCATGTAGGAATCGGGTCAAATCATACATTTAAAATGTAAAAAGTAAGGGGTCGTTTACCAAACACTTATCCAGTAAGTGCTTTCAAGTAAAATTTAAAACTATCATTTACTTGCCGGATAAAATTTTAGTCCACCAAAACGGTATTATATGCAATAATTTACCCGATAAGCGCTTACCGTGGTAAAAGTCGTCGCCTTCACTTACTGGTAAGACTCTTGGTTCTTGTCTCGCTCTTACCGGGTAAAATTATTGGTTCTTATCATATTCATCCGATAAAGTAATGTAACTTGATGTTTACTTACCCGAGTAAGCATTTGGTAAACGGCCTCTAAGTCATAATGTTGATGTTTGTGACGAGAAAATTAGTGGGTAGGGGTGCATTTAGCTGACCCTTTTTTATCCCACCAAAATAGGTGGAACAAAAAACTAAGAGACAATGGTGGGACAGGACAACTGGACAAGACTGAGTGGGACAAAACTGCATTTTTTTTGTCCCACCAAAATAGGTGGAACAAAAATCAAGGAGGTCGTACAAGATTGGTAAATTACTAAACTAGCCATTTCAGTTTAAAACCCTAAAAACTTCCACAATTCTTTCACCAGCCTACCTGACTCTCGCCCGTCCAGTCTGCGTACTGAACTCACCCTAGATGTTTGACATTTCGAACAATTTTCTTAAATTATGTGTATAAGCAAACATTGCAAATTTAACAATTTAAAAGGCATGTTGGAGCTAATCTCTTCCAGGCACATCAGTTCTAAGCAACGATAGACTACCAAAAACATAGTTGTGATAGACTAGAAGAAAATGCAACCTAATTAACAGTATAATGCCAACCACTCCAAGACGGCAAAGGGATCTAAAGTCGATGGTCGTTGTTTTCCCAATGGAAGCAGAATTTTACCAATGATACCAAGTACTCACAATAATCAGGGTAATAAGACCGATAGGATGTAAAGAAAAATCAAGAGAACATAATCAACAAAACATGATCACCAAACAGTAATTGTATAAAATATTTAGGTGAAGGTTCGTAAAGTTTTAACCTTCAATCTCCTCGTCATCAAGTGGGGCATCTTTGTCAAATTTAAACCTTTCCCATCCTGACCCCATGCCATTTGCTTCATCCAGTTTGGCTGCAAATGATATAGGGCATATAGAATTGTTACCAAGGATGCCAAAAAGACATATTACAGGCAGATATATTTCACATGGATTGCAGTTCAATATATTCAATGTGTTATGCACACAAGCCAGGGGTCTCTATGAAAACAGTCGCTCTATCCTTTGAGGTAGAGGTCAGGACTGTATACATCCCACACCTCCCAGACCCTGCTTTCGAACGAGATATACCGACTTTGTTTGGTTTGGTTTACATTCAAGGTTTTATGTCCTATTTGGCTGCCACCCATTAATAAGACATTACTGGATTGAAGATGAGGGTAAATCGTGGAAATCAAATTTCTACCTGTTCTCTCTTGGGAAGAGAAAAGTCCTGCAGGTTCTTTTTTTGGGTAACCATGGTCCATGGGTATCCGGGCCAGCTTACACGCACCGACTAATCCCCCGGACGACCATGAATGGCCTGGGTCAAATCGCAGGTGAACCTCCATGGGCTACTCATGAGGTCCATCCTTTTCTTAAAGTGTGCTAGTGTGTTTCAACATGGACTACTTTATGATCCACCAAGAAGCATTTGAGCACATTTATTTAGCACTTTAGCACATTGGTTGGAGATGACTTGTACCTATATTATGACACTTTAGCTCGTTAGCACATCGGTTGGAGATGGCCTTAGTTTTGATGTAGGTTGCAATTCTCAAGATCGACCACAAGATGATTGAATAGAAGGATCGAATTCTACTTGATTGTTTAAAACAACCTAGGTAAGATGCCCTAGCTTATCCTGGGTGTGATGATTGGATGATAAAGTTAAGAGTATCCTCCTTTCTAATTTCAGCCCAAACCTTGCCTCACCTAAACTCTGTCCTATCTCCACAATTTCATTCTAAAAAATGGTTTAGGGTTTAGGAAAAGAAAGAATGAACCATAAGTATACATGCATACAGAAAGCTTTTTGAAATTATAGGTACATGGCTACAACTAAAACATATAGCAAACAATTAGATAGGGATTCACAGTATACAAATGAAGTGGATGAAGTCTTCAAAAAGTTGATAGCAGTTAGTGAACTAATAACATTAACTTACCAGTTGCAGAAAGCTGAAGTTTCATCTTTGCTTTGACCCTTTCCGCTGGTGACTGTAACCAACACGAAAAATAAGATATTTTAGGCAGTGATTTTATACAACACCATACAAAAAATAAAATGACACTACTCAAAATATAGCATCGGTTAGCTTCCTTGGTAGATAACAACTAGCAAAGAGAAAAGATATATGATATGAACTACTACAACATCATCCGACCGGCCTTAAACCTATGGAGTTACCATCATATCTTTTTGTTGCAACCGAACAATCCTTCTAGTGAAAAGGAAAAATGATATAACACTTTGCAATATGTCAAACATAGTGTTTTTTCTGGATTTATTTCCACAATGACTAAAACCATAGTGTCTTTTTACTATTAGCAAAAAGATTTGTTACTTTACAACGGAAATCCAAGCAGAAAAGATCCAAAACGTCAATCTCTCGAATGCCAAGATAATGCAAGTACTATAAAACATAAAATGGCATCCAAGGGATGCACAAAAACCCAACCAACCCAATCCATCCTGAAATAACCCAACCCGATGCCTAATTGAGTTGTAAAATCTTCAAACTGTTGGAATTGGTTTAGGGCCATTTGTACCAAACCCAACCCGATGAACACAATATCCTTCTATTCCTTGGATTTAATATGATTGTTAAGTCCCTTACCAATATGTACATTAGACCATTACACCATCGCCCTGTTCGTACACATATAATTTAATCTCTTCTCCATCTCTATATAACTCCTTCGTATATATGTTCAGTAAATATGATCATATATATGCAAATTAAGAAAAGCAGATAGATGTTATCTACTTAAGAAATATAGATAAGTTGTAACAATTGATTGATGATGAATAAATGAATTAAGAGTACAGAAAACACTATATTCAAGGTAAGAGGCGTAAGGAAATTTTTGATGCACCAAAGGTTGAGATTTTTCAAACAACAAACATTGGATTGGGTTGTTCAAATGCAACCCAACACACTAAGAAATTGGTAAAGAAATTGATTTAAGTTTGATCATGCTTGAATTCGAATTGTAATGCATGAATTCTAATCTCACTCTCCATAAAAGTTGGAATAATGGAATCAAAAGGGTTTGAGAAGAATACCATTGTGTCATAGCCTTCAATCAATTTTGCATGATCAATTCTACCAGTTTTCTCCTTTCTAGCCTTCCGATCATCATCGACATCATTTACGCTTTTTCCCGATCTCCGACGCCGGGGAGACACGCTTCTACTCCTAGACCTACTCCTTCTCCTTCTTCCCCTCTCTCTATCCCTATAACGATCCCTATCTTCATACCTATCTCTATCTCCACTATTCGACCTATGCCTACGCCGATTCCTCGATCGCTCATCACCATTTCTGCTTCTACTTCTACTTCTACTTCTGCTCCTTCGACGCCTCGAAGAATGCTTATCACTTTCTCTACCTCGAGAATGATGATCATCCGAAACCCTAGACGAAGAAGAAGAATTAGGTTTCTTCTTGAGTTTGTTTTGGATAGATTCGATTTGAACTTGCTTTTGTATGTCGGATGACTTGGAAGGACTCGAAGCTTTGACGAAGCTGCTGAGGAACGAAGAAGAAGAGGGTAGAGCCGAGCCTCTGGCAGGTACGGCGTCGTTATGGTTGCTATTGGTGGTGCCGGCGGATGAAGAAGTGGAAAATCCAAGACCTTGTTTAAATCTAGCGGCGCCACTGCCTTTGCGAGTGAGCTCCTCGTAGTATGCTGCCGCTTTCTCTTCCTCCATTGATTTGATTTGCTTCAATGACGATGAAGCTTGGAAGGATTTGGAAAAGAGAAACAGAGAGGGGTAAACTGCAACAGAAAAATCGGTTTCAGTTGTCCTTTCAGGTCCCTATAGTTTCACTTAATACAATATTGACCCTCTAAGAAATTATAGCTTAAAAAATGATTTTTAATAGAATATTTATTAGGGTTGGCAGGTTTGAAAGCATTTGAACAAGGGATAGTTCAAAAACCTGGCCAACCTAGCAACCCAACGCGACACGAAATAATCTAACCTGATGTCTAATTGAGTTGTAAAATATTCAAATCGTAGGTATTGGGTTGGAATTGGGTTACGATCATTTAAACCCAACCCAACCCGATGAACCTGATATTTTTTTTTATTTTTTGCATTTAATATAATTGTTAATTCTCTATTAGTATATGTATCAAACAATTACACTATCATATACATTTTCTTATACATGTATTTTCATTCTCTTCTCCAACTTTATAATACTCCTTCGTATATGTGCAGTACATGTGAATATATATGTGTAATTTGAGAAAAATAGTTGAATGGGATATATTTAAAATTTAAGAAGTATGGCTAAGTTGCATCAGATGATGATGAAAAAAATTATGAGTAAAGAAAATAACATATATAAGTTTGGATTTTCCAAACCTTAAACATTTGGTTGGTTCGTTCAAATGTTTTCAACTCAATCAATCCAACTTATAAGCACTCTAAATTTGTACAGTCAAACTCAATGTTTGTGGTTTGAAAAATCTCAACCCAACTCATGCGGGTTAGATTGGGTTGATCAGGTTGAAACTACGGTACATCATTTTACAATTTAGCTAAGTGTATGTGTTTAAATAAAATGAATCAAAATGAGAGCACAAAAAAGGCAAAAAAAAGAGAGAGAGAGAGTTGAGGTTGATGCAAATAGAAAAATAAAAAGTACGATTGAAATTGTAATATAATTTTGCATATAGTTAATTACAAGTTACTCCAATGTCTTATATATATATATATA